CTACGAGCTGGCCCGGAAAGAGCGGCAGCTTCACTCCCAGCTCTACCCGACCTGGTCGGCCCGGGACAACTACGTAAGTGCCTGCTCTGGGCAGGGCGCCCTCCGACCCCAGGAGCAGTGTTTGCCAGAAGGAAGGCAACCGCGTCGTTTTTAGAAGAGTTGTTTCATTTATTTGAAAGCTAGAGTGACAGATCTTTCATTCACTGGCTCACTCCACGGCGACTGGACCTGGAAGGCGGGGGGAGGGGAGACCGTGTGCAGGGGAAAAGAGGGTACGCGCACCGTGCCTCCTCCCGGCTGGCTTAATCCTGTCAGCATGCAATCCTGGTGGGCTTCCTGCTCTGGCATCTGCACCGCAGGATCAAGAACAGTAGGGACAACGTCCCATCTTCCCCTCCGATCCGGGAGGCCCCGCGGCACGCCAGTGACCTCTCCCTTTGGCTGCGTTTCCCAGGGTAAGAAAAAGAAGAGGAAGCGAGAGAAGCAGCTGTCGCAGACGCAGACGCAGTCCCAGCAGCACGTCCAAGAGGCAGAGGGTGAGTCGAGGCGCCCTCCCGAGGGCCCAGCCGCTCCCGCCTGCGTGTGCTGTGCGTCTGGGCTTCCTTCCCCCGGGTGGCTCGTGCCGTCTTGGAAGAGCTGCCTTTTTGAAGCACCATACGCCAGAGATGGTAAAGCAAGCTGAGAGGAGATCCACCCCAACAGCTGGGAGCTCTAGGAGAGGAAGATGATGGTATGAAAGGCTGAGCTGCTTCCCGCCCAGCGGGTACCCAGCGGGTACCAGTTTTGCCCGTCTGGGCCCTGCCCTTTCTCTAAGCGCTTGGTGTTGCTTTCTTGGCAGTAAACTCAGGTCCACGCCTTAAGCGTTCCTCTGTCTCCACTCTGAGTGTCCATGTGGGATGTGGGTATGCCCAGGTCCCTGACGTGCAGCCATGGTGGAGTATCTGCATCGAACTTACACCTTTCTCCAGGCTTTTTGTCATCCCTGGATGACTTCTAACACCTAATATGATGTATCATGTAAAGACTTGGTACATCGTTCAGGGAATAATGACAAGAGGTCTGTACGTGTTCATATGAGATGCGGGGGGTTTCTTTTTTTTTGACTTGACTTTTTGGGAACATTTTTGGTTGGGTGGGTGGGTCCATGCACGTGGACCCCGTGAATGCAGCGGGCTAGCTGTTCATGTGTACGGCCAGGCCTGGTCCTCGGCTGCCCCTCCCGGCGCTGTCTGCTGCTCACCTCCTGTCTCATCTCTTTCCCCTAGGTGCCCTGGCCTCCAAGAGCAAGAAGCCATGTGTCCAGTACCTGCCCCCCGAGAAGCCCTGCGACAGCCCTGCCTCCTCCCACGGCAGCATGTTGGACTCCCCTGCCACCCCCTCCGCGGCCTTGGCCTCACCAGCTGCCCCTGCTGCCACCCACTCCGAGCAAGCCCAGCCACTGTCCCTCACCACCAAGCCAGAGACCCGGGCCCAGCTGGCTCTGCACTCGGCTGCCTTCCTGTCAGCCAAGGCTGCAGCCACGTCCCCCGGCCAGATGGGCAGCCAGCCTCCCCTCCTGTCCCGGCCCCTCCCACTGGGGTCCGTGCCCACCGCTCTGCTGACCTCTCCCCCCTCTTTCCCAGCCACGCTCCACGCCCACCAGACCCTCCCCGTACTCCAGGCCCAGCCTCTTTCCTTGGTCACCAAGTCTGCCCACTAAGCTGACCCCCACCCCCGCCAACCTACGCAGGCTGTCACGTGACTCATCGAGTAGTAATGATTCAGAAGAAAAAAAAAAAAGGAAAACTTTATTGGTCAATATTTGACCACTCTGGACTGTTGTGTAAAGTGACTGATAACAACAGCACTTTGCGTTTTGTAGATGTAACCAGTAGCTGATCTCAAGGCTTTTTTAAAAAACAAAACAAAACAACAAAAAAAAAAAATCTTTACAAGAAACAGAACGGAAAAGTAGTGTGTTATTCTTCCCGTGCGTGCTGTGGTGGATGGACCTGGGCAGAAGACACCTTCTCTCTACCTCTTTCTCTTCCCCGCTGCCCTCTCTTCTCATCCGCCCCACCTGTTCGGCTCCCCCTACTCCATCTGCATGTTTGCCGGTGCTGTGATTTCTAGCCCGGATCCATTCCTGGACGTCTCCTGTTTCCTGGCCCAGGCTCTTACCATGGGCGCAGTAGCGGGGGCCTTCCCCCGTGTCCTCTCTGTCCCCTGCCCAGTGTGAGGCCGCGTCACCTTGTGAGAAGACATCTCGGCCTGATTGGTTTCCACCAGCGTCCCTCCTCCCTCTGTGGGCCCCACCCCACCAGCCCCCAGCTGTGGGTGCGGAAGGAGGTCCTCTGAACCGGTCCCCCCACCACAATGAAAGGGACTCAAGGTGCCTGCCACTTCCTCAGCGAAGAGGTCTGCGTCCTCCCCCCGCCCCTGACCTGTCGGGGTCTGCCCTTCACGGTCCCAGTGCGGCAGACGGGCCCTGGCTGCAGGGCCTGGTTCCTGCCATCTGGGTCAGTGCTGGCACAATCTGCCAAAGTCTAAGGACCCTCCCCCCTGCCCCCTCACTTCACATGCTTCTTCCATGTGTATTTTGTTTTGTTTTTATGGTTTTTGGAGCAATTTAAACTCCCAGTTGGTTATTTTCACAAAATAAAATTGCAGTTGCAAGACCTTTCCTGAATGTTTCTTTGGTGCTTTTGTTGAGTCAAGCCACCTTCTCCATAGCGAGCCATGCACAAAAGGTTGCCTGTTGTTGGAGGGGAACATAAAATGTGCCTTCCGGGGCTGTGCTGTGGCACAAGGTGTTAAGACACTGCCTGTGATGCTGGTATCCCAGATGGGCCGCGGGGCCCGCTCCAATCCAGCTAACACACCTCCCTGGGAACACAGCAGAGGATGGCCCGTGTGCTTTGGCCCCTGCCACCCACATAGAAGACCAATGGAGTTCCAGGCTCCCGGCTTCAGCCCGACCCTGCCCCAGCTGTTGCAGCCATAGGGGGAGTGAGCCAGTGCATGGGAGACCTCCCCAGATCTCGCAGTATTAATAACTGAGGCCCAAAGTGTGAAATCATTCTGCAGTTGATTTAAATCAGTTTATTGGGAGCCAGCACTGTGGTGTAGTGGGTAAAAGCCACCACCGCAGTGCATGCATTCATATGGGTGCCAGTTCAAGACCTGGCTGCTCCATTTCCGATCCAGCTCTCTGCTATGGCCTGGGAAAGCAGAAGATGGCCCAAGTCCTTGGGCCCCTGCACACACGTGGGAGACCCGGAAGAAGCTCCTGGCTCCTGGCTTCAGATCAGCCCAGCTCTGGCCATTGCAGCCATTTGGGGAGTGAACCAGCGGATGGAAGACCTCTCTCTCTCTTTCTCTCTCTGCTTCTGCTTCTCTGTAATTCTGCCTTTCAAATAAATAATAAATCTTTTTTTTAAAGTATAAAGAAGTAAAATAAATTTATTCTTTAAAAAATCAATTTGTCACCCAGAAGACATTCTATTTATTTATCTTTTTATTTATATTTGAATGAGAGAGAGCACCCACCCATTGGTTCACCTTCCAAATGTCCATGATAGGCAGGAGCTCAGGAGCCCAGAACTCCATCTGGGCCTCCCACATGGGTGGCAGGGCCCCAACTACTTGAGCCATCACCACTCCTCCCAGGGTGCACATTAGCAGGAAGCTTGACTTGGAGGCGGGGCTGGGACTCGAACTCACTCTGACAAGGAACACTGGCGTCCCAAGCAGCGTCTTGTGCTAAACTCCTGCTACCTCCCCCTTGCTTATGCTCCTGACACCCGTTTGGTCTTTTTGTTTTGTTTTTGTCTTATTTATTTGAAATAGCTACAGAAAGCGAGATCTTCCATCCGCTGGTTCACTCCCCAGATGGCCACAACAGCCAGGGTTGGGTGAGGCCAAAGCCAGGAACCAGGGGTCTCCCATAGAGGTGGCAGGGCCCCAAACACTTGGGCCATCAGCAAGGAGCCGGATCGGAAGTGGAGCAGCCGGTATAGGAACCAGCGCCAGGATAGGCCATGGCTTCACTCACTACACAACATGGGCCCTCTATTAGTTGGTCTTACAAAGGGCATCTTTTGTGTCCTCTCCATAGGATCTAGCCGTGCAACTCCTTTTTTTAAGAACAGTTTTTTGGAGATAGACTTGACCCATTTAAAGTCTATAATTCAAATGGTGTTTAGCTGTTCAGAGATGCATATCCACCACCACCATTTTAGAACATTTTCCTCACCCAAAAAAGACCCCTTGGAAGTCACTCCCTATTTTCCCACCTGTCAACAAGTCCTAGGCAACCACCAATCTTCAGTGTATGATTTTGTCCATTCTGGACACTGAAAATAATTGGAATAATAAAATGTGTTCTTTAGTCACTTCCTTCCAAGATCTCATGTTTCAAGATTCATCCATCTATAGCATGTGTCTGTATTTCACTACTTTGGTTTTATGGTAGTAAAAGACATGTAATGAAAAAGTTACCATTTTAGTAGTAGTAGTAGTTGTTACCATTTCTAAGTAGTATTAAGTACATTCACAATGTTGTCCAGCCATAACCATCAGCAGTTCCTGGAACTATGTCACCCTGAGCAGAAACTGCCCATTCCAACATGGCGCAGTGCGTTGAGCCACCCCCTGTGACACTGGCCTCCCACGTGAGTGCCAGTTCCAGTCCCAGCTGTTCCACTTCCGATCCAGCTCCCTGGTAATATGCCTGTGAAGGCAGCAGAAGATGGCCCAAGTGGTTGGGCTCCTGCCACTCGTGTGGGAGACCCAAATGGAGTTCCAGGTTCCTGGCTTCTGGCTGACCCACCTCTGACTTGCAGCCATTTGGGGAGTGAACCAGTGGGTGGAGGATCTCTTTCTCTCTTTCTCTGTCTCTCTGGTCTTTCAAATAAGTTAAATAAATCCTTCTGAGAGAAAGAAAAGGGAAGGGAAGAAAAAGAAACTGTGCCCATTAAATAATAATTTTTCTTTTTCTTTTTTTTTTTTTTTTTTTTTGACAGGCAGAGTGGACAGTGAGAGAGAGACAGAGAGAAAGGTCTTCCTTTGCCGTTGGTTCACCCTCCAATGGCCGCCGCGGCCAGTGCGCTGCAGCCGGCACACCGCGCTGATCCGATGGCAGGAGCCAGGAGCCAGGTGCTTTTCCTGGTCTCCCATGGGGTGCAGGGCCCAAGCACCTGGGCCATCCTCCACTGCACTCCCTGGCCACAGCAGAGGGCTGGCCTGGAAGAGGGGCAACCGGGACAGAATCCGGCGCCCCGACCGGGACTAGAACCCGGTGTGCCAGTGGTGCCGCTAGGCGGAGGATTAGCCTAGTGAGCCGCGGCGCCGGCCCTAAATAATAATTTTTCATTTCTCACTTGCCCCAGTCCCAGGGATGTCTAATGCACTTCGCGTTTTGCGTGTCTGAATTTGCCTATTGCAGGCACCTCGCAGAAGTGGTACAACACTGTCCTTGACCTTTCATGTCTGGCCTGTTTCACTGAGCATGTTTTCAGGGTCCATCTGTATTGTTAGCATGTACTATCAGTTTCATTCTGTTTTATGGTGCAATATCTTGTTGCTCAACAATAGAGTTGTGTATTTTGCAAATTTGGTCTTGAGATCTTGCTCTGGAGGGTGGCTACCGACCCCAGCTCTGCCCTGGGTGTTTACCGTGATGAAATGCCCTCCCCAGGATACTTCCTCATCCGGCCAGGCGGCCCTTAAGCCCCAAGAGTCCAACTTGCAACAAGATGTCCCTCTCCGGGAACCTTGTTTATACTGGCAGCCGCTCCAGCGGTTTTATCTGACCTCAATCCATTTTATTCCGGCAGGACAGCCACTCCCTTAGAGAGCCCCAGTGGGGAAAGAGGAAGGGTTCAGGTGTGTGGGTCAGGTGAGACGCAGAGGAGGCAACTCAACCAAATGCGTGCAATAGCAGAAGCTGTAGGATTCCAGGGGCACAGGGAGGAGGGCAGCACGCCCCGCCAGGCCACCAGGCCAGGGCAGACCATCAGGGGCACCTGCACAGAACCAGCAGGCCAGGAGCAAGACAGAGAGGATGATCCCCGGGGCCAAAGCCTTTCTCGGGGGTCAGGGCCTTACCACAGCTGCTTTCCTTCAGGGAGCATTAATTGGTGGGTTTAGGGCAAGCAGGGTCCCACTGTGACGGGAGGTGTCACTGTAGCAGATCTTGGGCAATCCTTACTCACCCCCAAAGCCGGACCGGGAGCAGCTGGGCTCAGGGGCGGTGAACCGTTTGCATTGCCTGAACTTTGGCTTGTTTGGTTTCATCCTGTGGGGAGGTGGCCACATGCGGTGGTTGTGCAAATAAGCCAGATGTTTCGATGGATCACTTTGAGGAACTGGGACAAGATAGAGAACTAGAAACTGTGTTGAGGGTGACAGCCGGCTTCTGGCATGAGAAACTTAAATGTACATTCAAAGCAGGAGCCAGGGCAGTGTAAAATTGTAAGAATTTTTTCTGTATGTATAAGCCACGTTTTTGTTTCTCTGTTACCTGTTATCTGTTGATAAATGTATTATTTCCACCTTTTGATTATTGTGATAATGCTGCTATGAACAGTCACATACAAATCAGATGTTTTTGTACTTATTTTCTTTTTAAGATTTATTTATTGGGGCCGGCACTGTGGCATAGCGGGTAAAGCCACTGCCTGCAGTGCCAGCATCCCTCATGGGTGCTGGTCCAAGTCCCAGCTTCTCCTCTTCCAATCCAGCTCTCTGCTACGGCCTGGGGAAGCAGTAGAAGATGGCCCAAGTCCTAGGCCCCTGCACCCACTTGGGAGGCCCGGAGGACGCTCCTGGCTCTGGCTTCAGATCGGCGCAGCTCCAGCTGTTGCAGCCATTTGGGGAGTGAATCAGCAGATGCAAGATCTTTCTCTCTGCCTCTGCCTCTCTATAACTCTGCCTTTCAAATAAATTATGTAAATATTTTTAAAAATAAATTTTAAAAAAGACTTGTTTATTTACTTGAAAGGCAGTTACAGACAGAGCTTCCATCCACTGGTTCACTCCCAAAATGGTTACTTATAGTTATACAGGGCCTGGGCTGGTCCGAAGCCAGAAGCTTCATCTGGGTCTCTCATGTGTGTACAGGGGCCCGAGGACTTGGGTCATCCTCCACCGCTTTCCCAGGTGCGTTAGCAGAAGCTGGATCGGAAGTGGAGCAGCGGCGGGGTCTCAAACTAGCACCCATGTGGGATGCCAGTGTTGCAGGTGGCAGTTTTACCAGCCGCGCCACAGTGCTGGCTCTGAGTCCATATTTTTAATTCCTTGGTGCATATAACTAGGAGTGGACTTGCTGGGTTGTACAGTAATTCTATGTTTAGCTTCCTCTTTAAAAATTTTTATTTATTTATTTGATGGAGGGAGAGAAACAAAGAGAAGGGGGAGAGACCTTCCATCCACTAGTTCACTCCCCAAATGCCCACAACAGCCAGGGCTGGGCCAGCTGAAGTCAGGACCAGCAATTCCACCTGTGCCTCCCATGGGAGTAACAGGAACCTAGTTATTTGAGTCATCATCTGTTGCGTCACAGGTGCATTAGCCGGAAGCTGGACTGGAAACAGAATAGCCAGGCCTCGTACCAGGTGCTCTGATACGGAATACCAGAATCACAAGCTGCCGCTGAACCCACAACACCCTCCCTTAGGCTGAACTTTTCCACAGCAGCTGCAGCATTTTACATTCCCATCAGCACCGTGCGAGGCTTTCAATGCCCACATCCTCAACACTTTCCCGTTGTTCCGGCCATCCTTGTGGGCATGGGGAGGTAGCTCACCGAGACAGTGATTTGCATTTCCCTGATCCTGACGATGCTGGGTGTATTTTCCTGTGCATATTGGCCAGCTGTGCCAGCACCAACTAGAGAAAAAATTCTTCTTTCCCCCAATGAACCATATCCACAAAAATCAGCTAATTATAGATGTATAAGCTTATTTCTGGGCTCTCAATTCTATTCATCTTTATGTCTTTTTTTTTTTTTTTTAAGGAATTGATTAACAGGACTTCAGCAGTGACCTTATAAACTCTTCACTTTCAGAGTTGCAAGTGAAATCCACCGCTTGGGCTGTAGTGATTGCGATTAAACATGCAGAAAATATACACATTCCTAAAAATCAAAATCCCTGTGACTTCTACAGATTGTTTGGGAGATCATCTGCATTGATTCTATCCTCCTCTAAGTTTACATGGTTTCTGTATTGAACACTTGCATTACCTGAATATTCTTCAAAATATTGGATACACCAAATGGAGAGATGTCTTGTGTAGTTTGGACAATTTAAGATCTGTGTCATTAATTTTCAATGTACTGCTTAGAAGTATAAAAGAAAAATCCATCTGAGTATCCAGACAACCAAGATTTCCCTGGAGATAACAATATCTTAATAACAGGTAGTTTTGGGGGCCAGCGCTGTGACGCAGTGGGTTAAAGCCCAGCTTGCAGTGCCAGCATCCCATATGGGCACCAGTTCGAGTCTCGGTTGCTCCACTTCCAATCCAGCTCTCTGCTAAGGCCTGGGAAGGCAGTTGAAGATGGCCCGGAATGGAAGACCTCTCTCTCTGGCTCTACCTCTCTCTGTAACTCTTTCAAATAAATAAAATAAATCTTTAAAAAAATAGGTAGTTTTCTTTCCCAGCTTAAATCCATATTTTAAAAAAACATGATGGTAAAAATAAATATCATCTTTATGTCCCTATGCCAGTACCACACTAGACTAACTACTGTAGCTTTGTGGTAGTTGTTTGTTGTGTGCTTGTTTTTAAGATTTTATTTATTTCAGAGGTAGAGTTACAGACAGAGAGAGGTAAAGATAAAGAGAAAGGTCTTCCATCCACTGATTCACTCCCCAAACGGCCACGACAGCCAGAGCTGGGCTGATCTGAAGCTAGGAGCCAGGAGCTTCTTCTGGGTCTCTCACGTTGCGGCAGGGGCCCAAGCACTTGGGCCATCTTCTGCTGCTTTCCCAGGCACACTAGCAGGGAGTTGGATCTGAAGTGGAGAAGGTGGAACTTGAATCAGCACCCCTAGGGGATACCAGTATAGCAGGTGGCAGCTTAACCCACTGCACCACAACACCAACAACCCCAAGTTTATTTTGAGTCCAATCACATCCTTCCGGTCTCCCTGTCCCTACACTAGTACTACCTGGACTATTGCAACAGTCTCCCAATTGATTAACTCCCAGGTCTACTCTTCCCTCCTTACCCTGGCAGATTCTTCAATATAGAACAGAACCACAGTAATAGTAAAAAATTCCCAACTTAAACCTCTTTAATAGCTTCCCATTACCATTAAGATAAAATACAAAACCCTGGGCACTGCCCACATGACCCGGTTTCGCTTCCTCTCCTGCCTGGTGATGTGGACACCAGGTTAAGCTTAACAATTGGCCATTCTTCTCCCCACACACACGCCCTCACTAAACCAACATTCTTAAATGTTACTCAAACATGTATTTAGAGGGAGTAAAGAGAATTTTCTTTTGAATTTAACAACTCACTTCCTTTTTTAAATATAGATTTTATTATATTTATTTGAAAAGCAGAGTTATAGAGAAAGAGAGAGGGAGAGAGATCTTCCATCCATCGATTCACTCCCCAAATGGCCGCAATGGCCAGCGCTGGGCCAGGCCAAAGCCAGGAGTCAGGAGCTTCATCCGGGTCTCCCACGCGGGCGCAGGGGCCCAAGCACTTGGGCCATCCTCCGCTGCTTTCCCAGGCACATTAGCTGGGAGCAGGGTTGGAAGTGGAACAGCCAAGAACTCGAGTCAGCGCCCAGGTGAAATGCCAGTGCTGCAGGCACTTCACCTTCTGAGTCACAGTACCAGTCCCCCAGTCCACTTCCTTTAGCCAAAGCAGAATCCAGGTTCTGGAGCAATTTGGAAGAGTCCTCACTTCTCTTGGAGTCTTGGTCTCATATCAATAATGCACACGTATGTAAGAGATTTTCTTACAATAGAGAAATATTGAGAATCACATTTATAGGTTTTTAAATAATAAAGCACTTGTGCCTGAAAATCATATTTGTGCCGTGTAGTATTCTTAAAATTCTTAAGAGTTTTGACTGACTAGGACTGCGTGTCCCATAAACAAATACAAATGAAGAGAATGGTTGCCCTAGCAGCTGTCGCCCTTTTGGGCAGGAGTGGCACCAGTTTACAGTTCAACCAGAGTTAACTGGCATATTTTCCGTTGTACTTGTGTGTCCAATAAAGATGTATGTTCTGGACAACTCCCAGATCACTCAACTTCTTAATCTGGCTCTGCGCCAGCCTCATTCCCTGCCACTGTCCTTGTTGTGATCCAACAATCCTGGTCTTTACATTTGCACAAAATGCCAGGATCCCGCCTACGGGCAGCTAAGCTCATCTTCCCTTCAACCTCATCTGAGACACACCTATAAACTCTGGTCCTCGGTTTAAGGGTCCTTCCTCAACTAAGTTAATGGTTTCCGTACTTTTCTTTCTGGCAATTCTTGGGAATTTGTGTGTCTGTATACACACTCTCACATGTTTTGTTTGTTTTAAATTTACTTATTTATTTGAAAGGCAGAGTTATAGATAGGCGGAGGCAGAGAGAGAAAGATCTCCCATGGATGGTTCACTCCCCAGATGGCTGCAACGGCCGGAGCTGCCTCAATCCGAAGCCAGGAGCCAGGAGCTTCCTCTGTGTCTCCCACGTGGGTGCCGGGGCCCAACGACTTGGGCCATCTTCCACTGCTTTCCCAGGCCATAGCAGAGAGCTGGTCAAATAATAGTTTTAATTAACAAAGAATGTACTAGTGTTACTTAATTAAAAACATTAAATATTTGCAAGGCAAACACATACTCTAAAACATTTGCAGATTATGCCGGAAGGATGGAACTAAGGTTCTATTTTCTCCTTCTAGAACTCTGATGAGAACAAGAACACTTGTTTGGAAAGGATCTTGTTTGGAAAGGATCTTGGGCAACCTCAGACGAAGGCGATGGGCTGGACTTGTTTCTAGATGGGAAAGAACAAGAAAGCGAGGGGCGAGAAACGCGAGCAAACGATGGGGCGAGGAGCTGCCGGGCCCAGCGACCCACGGGAGGCGAGAAAGCTCCCGCTTGGTGCGACGGGCGAGAAGCAAAAATGGATGGCCTGTTATGGCTGCTATGGGGACTGGAAACCAGGAAGAGGTAGATTCTCCCGCCACTGGGGTCTAAGTCACCGCCACTGCCAAAAAAAGGAAAAAAAAATAACCTTCCAACCTCTCCGAAGGCTGAGCCCCAGGACCCGCCCCCGAATGGGGAGACCTGGCGGAGGCACGGAGGCGCGCGCAGGAAGGGGCGTGGCTACGAGTTTGGAGTCCCGCGCGCGACTCTCGCGAGACTGGTAGAGAGCGGAAGCACAGTCTGTGCAGGATGCGGTTCCTAGTTGTGTTGGTCGCGCTGAGTGTCGCAGTGGCGGGTAAGACCCCCTTCTGTCCGCCCACTCCACTTTCGCCCCCCAGCCCACCACCCTCAGCTCGGCCAGCCGCTGTCTGGGCTCGCCTCTTTCCTGCTCCCCCTACCCTTCCGCTCGCCGCCGCCCCCCTGCCCCCTTTCGCCCCTTTGCGCCTGATCCTTTCCTGCTCCGAGGAGTCCGCTTTTCCCGATCTGCGCTCTGAAAGCCTAATGGCCTGGTTTCTCCCATTTCAGTAGCTGACGATGCCAGTTCGGCAGACAATCAGAACGTAAACACTACCCTTACGGCCTCTGGAGCCTCCTCTTCGAACATGGAGCCAGAGATAAATAGTACGGAAAAGGTACTCGCTTTGAACCCGTCTTCCAATAACGCAGGCTCTAACAGCTCACAAATAGGGCAGCTGAAGGTTAGCGCAAACTCTAGCAACTCAAATACCGAGTCGCCGAACGCGAGCGCAAACACTGGCAACTCATCCCAGGAGCAGCAGGGGACAAGCGCAAATACTGGCACTTCGACTACGGAGCAGCCCCAGAAAATCAGCGCTTCTACGCCTCCTGCTCTGCCGAAGACCACGGCAGAGAAATACCAGTCCAGCAAGGCAGTCTCCAACCCCAGCCCTGGTAACACTCAGCCCGAGAGCAGCATAAGCGGCCAGGCTGACAAAGCAGGGACCTCGCAGCCTGCTTCCAGAGCTGAGTCCACGGAGGACTTGATAGTGGACTCTGAGCTCCCTTCTTCCCAGCAGGAGGGGGAGGACAAGCCTTTAGAGCCTGCTGAAGGTGCGGAGCCCAAGGAGGCTGGAGAAGGTGAGGCGTTTCCTGAAGAGGACTCACCCCTGGAGGAAGAGAAGGAGAAGATGCCGGGGCCTGCCTCCGGGGAGACCCGCGAGGGTCTGCTTCTGGATCCCATGAGCAGGGAGAAGGATGAGCTTTTCAAGGACAGCCCTGGAAGTTCCCGCGCAGAGAGCAGCCACTTCTTTGCCTATCTGGTGACCGCGGCCGTTCTCGTGGCTGTCCTCTACATTGCCTATCACAACAAGCGCAAGGTGAGTGAGGAGCTGCCCGAGGGCCCTGTCCCCACTCCGCAGTCCTTCCTCCCCCAAACGCAAGCTTGGGCGCCCATCTGCCGCCGGAGAGCACCGGGGTTTTAAGACAAATGTCTGTGTTTCCTGAAGACTCTGCAAGGGCTCTTTACTCTGGTTTCGTAAATTATGCGTCTCTTCCTGTTCCCAGTGTCCTCTGCTCCTGCATTAGGTTATACGTTAGGACAGTGTTATGACACACCCTGAAATGGGATTGCCTCCCAGAACCTGGACGTGGTCCTTCACAGCCTCCGAGTACCTGGGGAGCTGGCAGGAAAAACTCTCCTCTGCCCGCGTCTCCACTCTGGAGCCAGTGCAGCACTTCTGACTTCCTCCCCCAACCTCCTGTCTTCCATCTGCGGTGGCAGAAGGAATGATTTCAGTGACATAGTCTCCTATACCAACAGCAAGAAGCCCAGGGAACCTCTTGTACAGTCATAACTAGAAGAAAACCCAGAAATTGCACAGATCCATACATCTTTTACTTTGTCAGCATTTGGTATGAAGTAATAATGGTGTGTCCCGTAGCAACCAACCCTAATGACAAAATTAGTGCATTTCCTATTAAGTCCTAAGAATTTTGAAGATAGCTTCAGTACTCTGGTTAGAATGGGAGAGTTCAATTAATTGTGGCCATAAGATCTTCAGCTATAAAGAATGAGGAAATGGGGCGAACTTTTGGCAGGGCAGTTAGGATACGATATCACTTGGGGTACCCACATCCCATGTTGGGGTGCCTCTGCTTATAATTCCAGCTTCCCGCTGTTGTGCACCCTGGGAGGCAGCAGATGGCGGCTTGAGGACTTGGGTCCCTGCCACCCAGGTGGGAGCCCTGGAGTGAGTTCTGGGATCCTGGCTTCAGCCTGCCCAGTTCTCGCTGTTGTGGGCATTTAGGAAGTGAACAGCAGCAGGAAGATCTCTTTCTGTTTGTCTCTCAAAAAAAAAAAAAATAATACATAAATTTTTTTTTAAAGAATGAGGACATCCAAGTGGTTTATCATGGAGAGTAACCTCAGCAGTGAAATGACAGTGATAATGTAGCTGATGATGCAAAGGGGGGGGCCAAAAGAGTACTTTGTGGATAGGAAGTACTTTTTGATTATGATTTTAAAAAAAGGAACGTGCCATCCTAGAGCTCTCTGAGGAAGAGTTGGCAGATCTTTGAGTACTTTTTTTTTTTTTTTTTTTTTTTTTTTTGAGAGAGAGAGACAGGCAGCGAGTGCTTCTGTGGACTAGTTCACTCCCCAAATGCTCTCGGTGGCCAGGGCTGGACCAGGCTGATGTCAGGAGCCAAAACGCAGTCCAGCTCTCCAGTGTGGGCAGCAGGGACCTGACTTCCTGAGCCGCCACCTGCTGCCTCCCAGGGTGCACCTGAACAGAAAGCTGGAATGAGGAGCAGAGCGCAGATTCAAACCCAGACACTCCAGTAGGGAATGAGGGCATCTAGCTGGTAACCGCCAGGCCGAACACCTGCCCCAGACTGAGTACTCTTGAATAAATCATACAGACTTTCGCAAGCTAGAGCCCAGAACATCCTTCCTCCATCTGTCATTTCCTGTAAAGTACTACAAAGGATTCTGATGTACTAGGCCCTGTCTTTGCTAAAACCTTTTAACTTGAGTGGGCCTCTCTGGGTATACTGCTCTTTCTATAATCATTAACAAATGTCCTACAGGTGACTGTGGTTTCAGACACTGAACTGTGTCATTTCAGAACCACCTGTTCTTCATTTTCTTCTCCCTTTCCCCAGATTATTGCTTTTGTCCTGGAAGGAAAAAGATCCAGAGTCACTCGGCGGCCAAAGGCCAGTGAGTACCAACGCTTGGACCTGAAGGTGAGGAAGGAGGCAGGTCGGTGGGAAGGGTCTGCAGCCTCAGATGGGCCTGGCAGTGGCAGAATTCAGCATGGCGAGAGCAGCCAACTCAGGGGTTCTGGTGCCATCACCCCCACCCTTTGCAGACCACAAACTAGAAAAATTCATGACCTCTATTTGTTCCTGCAATGTTAGAGCTAGAAGAGACGTTCGAGTTCTCTACAGCAGCTCCCACCAGACAGATGCAGAAACAGACCCGTTCAGAAACGTGATTTTCTTCTTCTAAGGTTTCACTACAAGTTACTGGCACAGTCAGGACCTGGGAACAACTCCCTAGACTCCCACTCCTAAGCTTTTTTTGCACCACACCAGTGCTTCGCAAACTTCAGTAGGCACATGACTCACCTTGGGAATTGTGATAAAAACAAAATCTGGCTCACTAGGTATTGGATGGAGCCCGTCTCCACATTTCTAGGTAGTTCCCCAGGGGTGCCAAGTGCTGCTGGAACTGCGCTCCCTGAGTATACATGGCCCAGAAGCTCATAGGCCTCCAGCTTCCCGGGTGAGCCCTGCATGAACACTGTAGGCCAGGCTGCCTGAGTGCACCCAGCGTGTGCCTCAGAGGGAAGCGCTCCTCCCACCCCACAGCAGCAGGAGCTGAGCAAGGTTCTCCCAAAAGTAACTGTCTAAGCAAGAAGAGTGCCTCCCTCGGCATGTCTGCCTGCACTCACTCTTTTCTGTTCTGTCGAGTAACAGGGAGGGCACTGGCAAAGACCTAGTCAGTGGCCTAGCTGTGAGTTCCTCCCAGACTTCCTGCAGGGGACACAGGTGACTTGCACAGCTCATAGCAGCCACAGCAGAAGCCACTCAGCTCCAAGGAGCGATGCTGACTATCCTAACAATAAGTAAACTTCACAGCACCCCTGGCCTACTGCCTTTCCTGATAATTGACTTTAAGGATTTTTTTTTTCTCAATTATAATTTATTTTTTTCAACCAGAAAAGAAATACATATGTAATCAACACAGAACAGTGTGCTACAGAGGCCTGGATTCCCATAGCCCCTCTGTCAAGTCTATCTTTCTAGTATATGTTTTATCTCAGAATGATTTTAAAAACCATCTCATGTGCTGTTATTTTAATTAATTGCTGTTTGTGTGCTGGTGGGCTGGCTTGTCTTAATTCTACAAATTTTCCCTGAACTGCAGCTCCTATAAGGTCTCCAGCCCTACCCCAGTTGTAAAAGTACAGTGTGTTCCCATGAACAAGGATGAATGTTAACCTGTGGATTGTGTTTTCTCTCGTTCCAGCTTTGACTTCTGTCCACAAGAACCTTGTCCTCCCTGCTGATTTGTTTCTAATTCGAGAAATGAGGAGACAAGTACTGTGACCTCAGAGCCACCCTGCTTGGGGGTTTGGTGGCAAGTGTGGGCTGGCAGAGGCAGGGGACTGACTTGGGTTTTGCACCTGCACTTTGGTGATGTTGTACTCCTGTGTTCCCTTTATTTATGCTGGTGTCATTTGTCCTCTTCTCCCGAGTGTGAGTGGAGGGAGCATGTGGAAACGACTATGACCAAAGGGAGACCCCAGCCCTGGGCAGACCGTGCCGCTGACCATGCTCCGTTGGGCCTTGACTGTAGTGAGGGAGCCCTTGACCATGGCATTGCCCTCTCCACAGTCTGTCTCTGCAGACCTAGGAGAAGACTGAAGGTAGAGGTGCTTTTCCACTAAAGTCTCTTATTCTGGGGGATGTGCCCTACAAAGAAATAGAAGATGGTGAAGCACGATGGGCAGAGGCTGCATTGAACACGTGATTTTTATTAGAGGCTTCAGCAGCAAACCAAAATAGCAGGTTAAAACATGCTAACCTGTCTAGCATAAGTTCTTCTTGTTTTTCTTATATTTTGTATTCCTTGAGACAAAGTGAATCAACTCCCTTTGATTGTACTGAGTGTAAAATTGAACTTTGGGTTTCTGGAAGTAAAGCCACTGTTCTCATCAGATTTGTTTTTTTAAGTGTGGTTATGATTATTGATTCATATAGTCATGGTCAATAGGAACTCTGAGATAAGGCAAGTTGGTGCTTCATGCAAGAACATATGTAGGAGGGTTTCAGTTTGGGTTTGCATTTTTTTTTTTCAAAGGGCTTATCAATTGCATTCTTGCCCTTGTTGCCTAAAAATGGACAAGAGACATTGAGAAGCCAGCTGTAGTCTCTGATCCTTTTATCTTAATCTTTTTAATGATCCTTGTATCTGATAGAAGATGCTGAGAGTAATTTAAAAATTCTTCCATTCCGTGTCAGAGGTTCTTTTAAAATTCAAGAAATTTCCTGAATCCCCCTGGGATGACACTGTTCTTTGAAGTTTTACTTCAGCCTGTCCTAGCTGTGCTACCTATAATAGAGAGTCCAGTGAGAGTTGTGTCTGAGCTGATCTCAGGGATCTACAAAGTGTGTGGAAAGGATGTGGAGGTGAGGGAAATACGAATTCTGTGCTGCTGAAGAAGCCACTCTGAAGGAGGGGCATCCTGATTGTCCTATGTTCACCTAGCTGAGAACTGCCCTGGCAGTCAGCAACCTTGATGGGGATTCAGGATGAATCAGACTCTTCTTGGTGTCATTTTCTCTCCTTGTGCACCAGGCTTGTCATCATTGCCTCCGACCTGAGGAACCTTCCCTCAGGCTCCTCTAGCCTCCCCTAAGGCCATCCCGTCTCCACCTCCGCCCTCTGTCGCTACTGTTAGTGTTCATGTCTGTCTGCACTTTCCTCATGCACACCCATCTCTCCTGTGTGTTCTGCTGTTTCACTTCTCCAGTAAGTATTGCTTCTTTTACCTTGTCAGTCACTCTCTGTGGTTCTGCAGACTCACTCTGGTCCCTGTCTTTCTGATGTGTTTTTCCAAAGGTTACCAGTTATCAGATCACCAAACCATTAGCTAGCCTGTCCTTGATAGAATGGGCACTATTGACCATCTAGATCAAAATGCCACTTTCTTGAGGGCTGACAAACTGTTGTTTGCCTTGTCCTATGCTGATGCGGAAGAGGGCCTTCTGACTGTCCTCAGAAATGTGTCTGTTCTTCATCTCTCTGCCCCTTATGTTGGAAAGAAGACCAACCTTAGAATCATTATTCTTCCCAGAATTCTTGATCTGCTCTGAAGCTGTTCTGTACCTCTCATGGCTTAGAGAATCAGCTTATGGGCTGTTGGGTATTCACAACTCTGCACATCGGTATCTTCCTCCATGTCTTTGCCTCCCACCCAGGCCAGACGTGTCTTGTCCTGCACCCATCCATGCCTCTGTGCCTTTATTCTTGCTACATCCTTCGATTTCCTAGCTTTCCATGGTTATTTCTCAGTTAGGTTTTCTGCCCTTCTCCTCCTCCTCTTGCCTTCCCCAAATCTATCAGTTTCTTCAGGCTCACCCTGAGTTTTCCTGTCTGCCCCCATGCTGTGAGGCTCTTTCCATTCTATTCTGATAACTCTAAGTAATGCCACTTGCTCATTTTGGAACCTCAAAAAAAACAGGGCAGGCAGATCTGATGTTTCTCTGGTCTCTCCCAAAAATGAAGCTCTTGAGGGACAGCGCTCGGCACCACCTTCACATCTGCCTAGCACAGTGACGTTCCTCGGGGACTCAGTTCCGTTACTCCCTGCCGAGGAGTTGTTTTCCTTCTTCATGGTGTCCAGGTGTGACTTAGATGAGGCCTTACAGAGCTCTTTCTGGCTGCTGGTTGCTGTGACCTTATATTTGCTGCGTTTCGCTCTTGAAGAGGAGAACAGGAAGTCAGCTTGGTTTCAGAATCGAAGAGAGCTGGCAGCCAGTGGATATGCAAGTATTGTCATTGAGTCCACATAGCTCAACTTTTTCAGCACACCATTTCTTCTTGGGCAGAAAGAATATGATGGAATTTAAGGTTAACTTTAGAAATGGCACTGAAGGAAATACCACACACCAAAGGAACACTCATTTCCAGGATGGTTGTCTTTTTGAAGGTACCAGCGTTTGAAGCATGCTTTCCTAGAGATTGTGGGGATGAGGGTGAAGTGGCTGAGGCATCTCAGGACACGGTTGGGTGGCAGTGTGTAGGAAACACACAGAGGCACAAGAGGCACCCCTCTGTAGACAACCGTGGGCTTCTTTCCTGCCCCCAGCTTGTGGTTGAAGTGTGATTTCTCTTAGGAGGAAATCTGCTTCTGTCAAAGATGTTAAGAGAGGAACTTGCCTTCCTGCCTGCTACAGATTACTGAGTAGAGTTATTTAAAGAATCTACACTCAGGGGCTCTGAGAGAGTCAAAGGCGAGTCCATCCAGAAGAGCTAAGAGAATTGGCAGACTTGACAACCAGATGTGTACACTCTGACATTTCCCCCCTGACTTGGTGTCCCCGTTGGCAACACTCACTGTTTCCTGTTTTCACATGGTAATTTGACAAACAGTGCTGTGTGTGTGGTGAGCTAGAGCGACTTGCACACGCCTTCTGAACCATTTGGACATGGAGGTGGAGGAGGGGCGTCGTACGCCAGAGCCTGTGCTCCTGCAAGGCTGTCTCCTGAAATCTCTCACCAGGAAGGTTGAGTTTAGCTTTGTCTTAAGAATCCTGGATTATTTTCAGGTTTAATTTAACACCCAGAGCCAAACATGACTCTCAACTCAGCTCCACAGTCGGATGTAAATTTCCCACATATTCCAACTTGGAAACTCCTCTGAAAGGTCTGGGTCTGAGCTGTATGGTATTTCAAGCTGCCAGCAGAACCGGCCCTTGCACTCGGGCATATGCTCCTCTGATTCCTGAGACTACGCGTTCAGTAAATGACTGTGGAAATGGTTTCCCTTTTTTGTTTACTCAGTTAGTCGTTTGCCACTACTTTGCAGTGTTTCATATTTTTAGCTTTTTGTGATGTTAACTATAATTTTTTTTTTTTTTGTTTTGTTTTTTTTTTGACAGGCAGAGTGGACAGTGAGAGAGAGAGATAGAGAGAAAGGTCTTCCTTTTGCCGTTGGTTCACCCTCCAATGGCCGCCGCGGCCGGCGCGCTGCGGCCGGCGCACCGCGCTGATCCGATGGCAGGAGCCAGGAGCCAGGTGCTTTTCCTGGTCTCCCATGGGGTGCAGGGCCCAAGCACCTGGGCCATCCTCCACTGCACTCCCTGGCCACAGCAGAGGGCTGGCCTGGAAGAGGGGCAACCGGGACAGAATCCGGAGCCCCGACCGGGACTAGAACCCGGTGTGCCGGCGCCGCTAGGCGGAGGATTAGCCTAGTGAGCCGCGGCGCCGGCCAACTATAATTATTTTTTAAAGCTTATTGTGGTCTGATGATAAGTATTTTTAGTGCATGTTTTACTGAGCTTCTATAAATGCCATCTCATAGTTTTGTGTCAATGGACAGAAACCAAAGTAAATTTCAAATAATAAAGCAATGAAGCCAATACATTTATTAATATTACATTAAAACGGGCTAGAATAAGGCCCTTAGTACTTTGGTTTAACACAAGCAGAGGTCATTTTTCTTAACCTTTAGCCTTTATTCACCTTCCTATCCCACCTTCATACAGATTGAGCATTCCTAACCCAAAATTCAAAGTGCTGTAAAATCTGAAACTTTCTGAGCACTGACATGAAAACCACAAGTGAGAAATTCCAGGCTCTGAAATTTTGTTTCAAATACAAAATTATTAAAAATATTATATATAATTATTTAGCTATGTATACAATATATGTCTGAAATTTAAATAAATTTTCTCTTTAGACTTGAATCCCATCCCCAGGATAGCACATTAGATCTCGTTTGGAATATGAAAATATTCCAAAGTCCCAAGCTTCTTGGGGAAGGGATTCTCAGCCTTGTATTCTGGCCATTCCTGGGCTTGAACACATTCTGTGGCTTTCTGTATTCCAGTTCTGACTTTCCACTCCCACCCCCACTCTTCCCTGCCTGGGAGCCTGTTTTGTAGTTGAGGTGGTAAGCTGGCGCATTGTCACAGTGCGTTCTCTGCCTTGGTACTGTCCTGTGCTGTGCCCTTGGCCTGGAATGATCCTTCAGTCTGCTTTAACCCCAGCATAGATGACTGTCTTCCCCCTTCCCTGCGTGTTTTAGAAGATAAGGCTTAAGGCTTGGGTTCTGAGCTTCCTGAGGGTGTTTTTTCACTGACACCCCCACCAAAAGGAAGATGAAGCTGAGGCGTGGCTGCATACAAACCACATATTCTAACATAACACCTTGCTGACTAGTGGGGCCCCTATCTGCAGAACCACGTGGACCCTATCACAGATGGACCCTACCACAGGTGTTTCCTGTCTTTTTTTTTTTATTTGGCAGTAAGTTACAGAAAGATACAGAGAGATCTTCCATCTGTTGGTCCATTCCCCAAATGGCTGCAATGGCTGGGGTGGGCCAGGCTGAAGCCAGGAGCCAGGAACTCCATCCTTGTCTCCCATATGGATGCGGGGACCCAAGCACATGAGCCATCTTCTGCTGCTGTCCCAAGTGCTTTAGCAGCGAGCGGATTAGAAGTGGAGCAGTGGGGACACGAACAGGTGCCCATATGGGGTGCTTAAACCTGTGTGCCACCACGCCAACCCCTCCTGTCCTCAGAGAGCCACTGAGACCAGGAATGTGGGAACTGGGGCCCTCTGAACTATGAAACTACAGCCAAAAGCAAGCTCAGGGTTTTACTAAAACCCCTTAGTTACCCTTCCTCGACTGTAGAACTTTAAGTGACTGAGAGGAAGGCAGCCAACCTGCTTCAGCTGAACTTCAGCTTCAGGGACTCTGCCCACTTGACCCAGAGAATATTCACTGTGATTGTTCAGTTAGGGGGCAGGTGCAGAGGATGCAGAAGAGCATGCTTGCTGGCGCCGCGGCTCACTAGGCTAATCCTCTGCCTGCGGCGCCGGCACACCGGGTTCTAGTCCTGATTGGGGCGCCAGATTCTGTCCCGGTTGCCCCTCTTCCAGGCCAGCTCTCTGCTGTGGCCAGGGAGTGCAGTGGAGGATGGTCCAAGTGCTTGGGCCCTGCACCCCATGGGAGACCAGGAGAAGCACCTGGCTCGTGCCTTCGGATCAGCGGGGTGCGCTGGCTGCAGTGCGCCGGCCACAGCGGCCATTAGAGGGTGAACCAACGGCAAAGGAAGACCTTTCTCTCTGTCTCTCTCTCACTGTCCACTCTGCCTGTCAAAAAAAAAAAAAAAAAAAAAAAAAGAGCATGCTCAGGGTTAGGCATCAAAACTGGACCAGCACTATGGTGTAGTGGATAAAGCCGCTGCCTACAATGCCAGCATCCCATATGGGCACTGGTTCGAGTCCCAGCTGCTCCACTTTTTTTTTTTTTTTTGAAAGAATTACACAGAGGAGAGGCACAGAGAGATAGTGAGGTCTTCCATCCACTGATTGGTCACAATGGCCGGAGCTGCACCGATCAGGAGCCAGGAGCCTCTTCTGGGTCTTCCACACAGGTACAGGTGCCCGAGGACTTGGGCCATCTTACACTGCTTTTCCAGGCCACAGCAGAGAACTTGGTTGGAAGTGGAGCAGCCGGACCTGAACCGGTGCCCATATGGGATGCCGGCACTGCAGGCGGCAGCTCTATCTGCTACGCCACAGTGCCAGTCCTTGCTCCACTTCTGACCTAGCTCTCTACTATAGTCTGGGAAAACAGTAAGAAGATGGCCCAAGTGCTTGGGCCCTTGCACCTGTGTGGGAGACCCGGAAGAAGCTCCAGGCTCCTGGCTATTGTGGTCATTTGGGGAGTGAACCAGCAGATAGAAGACCTCTCTCTCTCTGCCTCTGCCTCTTTGTAACTCTGCCTTTCAAATAAATCTGTTAAAAAAAAAAAAAACCTGTTTGCAGCAGTGGTCCCATGCAGGCTGTTGGCAGGGACAGTGTGTATTATAATAAGATCATCACGTGCCCCGGCGCGAGGAGCTTCAGTTGAAGAGCTGAGAGTTACACTGGGCCTCTGTCGGAAATCAAACAACTTAGAGTGCTTTACGTGTGCAAGGAGCTAATGCACAAAGGCACTGTAGGCAAATCAAAGGATGTGCGTTGCCAGTGGCCAAATTCTTCTGACTCATCTCTGACCAAGTTAATTCTTCTTCTTCTGGGCCTGGATCCTTGAGCCAAGATCCTTGAGGTCTGAGTACAAGTTCCGCTTCAGGATGGCACTACTGCACAGCAGGGCCCCTTGCAGAGCCCCCATCAGCCCACAGGTGAAGATATCCTGGCCTAGGAGGCAAGAGCAGAGGCCTGTGAACGTCTACCACATGGTGGGGGGCAGGGGCTCCGTGTGCAGGCCCCCATGCTAGGGCCACCCTGGATGTCTGCAGGTCAGGGCCAGAGCCGCAGCCTGCTGAGCAGCCCAGTCAGTATGAGAGTTGCAGGGGTTAATGATTAAGGATAGGAACAAAGGAACTAGGGTGCCAGGGCCCAGGGTCTGAGATCCTGGCAAGATGGGGTAATCAGTGTACCTGTCAGGTAGAGGTTGGGGATGGGGCTTTGAGCCCTCAAGGAGGCCATCGCATGAGGATGCAGGCGGCCCAGGTCATGGTCAGCCCCATAGCAGGCACCCCGGGGAGCAGCCAAGTAGAACTGATTGGTCAGTGGGGATCCTCCAATCGCACTGTCCACCTGAGGAGGCAAAAATGGCAGCCAGGGGGTGAGAGTGGGCACTTGTGAGATCCTTGTCTCCTGCTGAATGAGCTGGTGGCCTGGGTGGATTGGCACTCCTTCCCTGGGCTCCATTCTCTCAAGGCCTCATTCCCCTGAGCTGAGGAACGGGCAGAAGGAGCCCCGCGAGCTAGGTCTGCTAGCGCCAAGGGATGCTTTCCCACCCTACCTTTCCCTCCAGATGCGGGAACAGTCTCATGACCACCGACATAGAGGCTTCAACAAAGGCGCTTTTGAGGGTCTCGTAGTCACGGCTCCGCTTTCCTTTCGGCTCCTCCTGCCACTCCTCAAACCACTTGAAGGCGCTGGGCACCAGCACGATCATCGTGGACCGGTCTGGGGATGCAGAGCCATGGTTACTCCTGCCTGGTCCCTGGCCCCTGCCCGCCAGCCTCTCTCCCACCACTGTCCCCTTCCCCAGGACCTTTAGTCCCACCTGGGAATCGGTCCTCCCAAGTCGGGTCCTTGGCTGATGGGGAAGCAATGAAGAGAAGGGGGATGTGATTTGCAGCCTTTTCCCTGGGCAGGGAGATGTAGCGCTCCATCCTGCAGGGGAAAGGAGTTGTGGCTACCCGGCCTCAGGCCCTTCCTCAGAGCCAAGCCAGCACGGTTCATGCCAGGCCTCCCTACAGGCGTGGGGCTGAGGCACAGCCTGGGCGTGCAATAGCCCTCCTCCTCCCATGCCATACCCTGCTGCTCCATCCCCAGCGCTGAAGGAGGAAGCAGAAGCCCAGATGTCTAAGAGCCCCGCCAACGCCCTCTTCCCCCAGGCACACACGCAGGCCTTACGCCTTGTCCATGTCGGTGTCAAAATAAACATAGTAGTTGGTGGACTGCAGACCCAGCTCCTCCTTGGTGCCCCGCAGGCAGATGAAGACAGAGAACATGCCCAGCCCAGGCCGCACCATCCGCAGCTGCTGCCGCACACCTGCCAGAGGGAATGGGTGGGGACTGCTGACACTGTGGCCCCAGGGACTGCCACCACCACCCCCTGCGCTCCGGGAGGGCTCACTTGACCTGCTGCCTGATACCCAGCTGCCAGCTAGGACCCTCAGCTGTTCACCCTGAGCCTGGCAGAGGCCTGTCTCCTGCCTGTGAACGACACAACCTCACACTCCTCCTCCCTCCCCTAGCTCACCCTAGCTCTGCTCTGGGCACCTTTCTCAGCAGGTGACGTCCAGTCCCTGGCCTCCAGCTAGCTCCAGTCAGGCTAACCTCCCATCTTCCCCTTAGAGTCCTCAAGGTATTAACCAGTGGCGGGCTCCAAGCTGTAAAAGACCATGCACATGAACGATAGCTTGTTCCAAGCCTTGATTTCAATATTAACACAAGCCACCTAAGGAGTGAATATGTGTAATTCTCATATGATAAGTGACACGTATGACTAATGCAAGTCACATTAAGTGGCACTTGGGGAGAGGAGTTCCTGTGTGGACCTAAGTGGCTGGGCGTCCCTACCTCTCCACAGGTGATCCCAGACCAGTTTTCTGCTTGAAGAATGACTTGTTCCTGGCTGTTCTGCCTCATTCATGTAACAGATACTGGTTGAGGACCTAAAATGTGCTGAACTGTGTGTATGTGCAGGCCCTGGGCTACAACAGGACTCAGACACGATGCCTGACCACTGGGAAAGAGGCTTTCCTGAAAAAGGCTGGCGATCCTAACAGCGGCTCTGGGCAGTGCGACCACAGAGTCCCCCATCCCAAGCAGGCTGCTCTTGAGAGGGAAGGGGGCACTGCCACCAGTCATGGCAGCAGGACAGCGGCCATCAGCGTCCTCATGGACGCCCAGCTGTGGAGCACGCTGAGGGAAGGCGGAGCATCTGACAGCCCCACCTCACGCACTCAGACTCAAGTCCTGGGTCCAGCATCTAGCTGGGGTGTGGCTAGACAGAGACATACCCCGCCCCTGGTCTTCAAAGGCCCCTTAGAACAGCAGGTACCCCCACTCAGCCTACCCCACCCCTCCCCAGCTAGAAGGAAGGGGCCAAGGAGCCATATCCCTTCCTCTCCACAGCATCCCGTCACCCAGTAGCGGATTTCACCCCACCCCGACGTGTGACCACAGCTGACCCTGCCTCCCAGGGGACCCTGGTTGTCTGATTCCCATCTGAGAGGCAGACAGAACTAAGAGAATCCCCACCACCAAACAGCTGGAAGTGAAGGCATCCCAGCTTCTGGGGTCTGGCCCCACCTGGAACATTAACGTGGGATTCGTGTGGGGCAGCAGCCCTCTGCCCACCTGAGGCAGGCACACGGCCCTGAGCCATGTTGGACCAGCACCATGACATTGTTCTCAGGGCTAAGAACAGAAGAACACTGAAAACTAACTGGACTGTGAGCAGGGGGCAAGAGGAACGGATAACCACATGGTAGCCTGTCTCAGGACAGTGTTGGGGCTCAGAGAGGGAGCGGCGTGCCCCAGGTGGAGCCGGCTGCTGCGGAGGGGACAGTGGGCGACCCAAAGGGGAGCCGCACAGTCTTACCTGGCAGAGAGCGGGCGCCCTCCGGCAGTAGCTTCTCATAGGTGTTGAACAGCCCTGCACTGGAGATCACGATGGGGCAATAGACGTTGACCAGCTGTGGCCCCTTCTTCACACTGACACCTGCAGGCACGAGAGGTTGGCCCGGGAAGCAGAGAAAGTCCCGCATCACCCGGGGACCTCCACCAGCCTACGCTGCTTCTCACTCCTGGGGTGGCAGAAACACCTCCGCATCTGTGAGGGCTCCCCTGTGCCCGCGCGCCCTCTGCCGTCTCCCTCAGTACATGCTGCATCTTGTCAGTGATCTTCCCTATCATTCTAGAATCTTCCTGAAATGGAGATTGGGACTGATTTATCTCTTATCTCCGTCCTTCACCACCTGACACATGAAAAACATTCTGTGTCAAACTGGCATGGTGTGGCCAACCCACCTGGCTTCATGGCCCCCTTTCAGCGGGAGGAACTTGCTTGCACACATCAGAGACCTCTGACAGCCAGCCACCCATCACCACCCCGCAATGTCTCGGTCCCTTCTGCAAAGGTACTCTCTCACCATCGGTGCCCTGCCTCCTTGATTTTATTGTTAGAGACATCAAAAGTAAAGACATAGCCTCTACACTCAAGTGGAAGGTCACGGATTACTGGGTAATCCTGCTCCCTTTTTTATCTCCAGACTTATCCCTATCCTTCAGCCCCTGCTGTGAGGAAGTCAGTTCTTCTGCACCTCTGCCCTCAGGGAGGTCCCAGGCTTCTCCCACCCCAGTCCAGGGCCCCCAGCGCAGAGTGCAGGGCTCTTACCACACACTTTCCCAGCTGAATCCAGCAGCACACTCTGCACGGTGGCCTTCGTGAGGACAGCACCCCCTGCCCGCTCAATCACGGGGATGATGTGGAAGGCGATTTCACTGGAACCCCCTCGGGGATAAAATCCTCCTTTGAGGTAGTGGTCAACCAGCAGAGCATGCATGGCAAAGGTGGTGTGGCTGGGGGTCACCCCTGCAGAGGGAGGAAGTCATTCAGGCGTCATTCAGGAGTGTGGTCTCCTGCAAGGTAACCCAACCTGCCTCTACCCCTGGATCCACGTGTTCCCCCAGGGGCCAAGGCAGCCAGGGCAGCTGTCTCCGCCCAAACATGGGGTGCCTTACAGACCTCAGGGCCAGCGGGAATATCCTGCCTGCAAACTGCTGTGCTCCCAAGACCAAAAGGACAGAGTTGGTTGAAGAGAAAAATCATCTAGGGTGTGGATGAAGGGAATTTCTACCAGGGGGTCAAACAGGTAGACAGACTCCTCATCACAGGCTCTACAGGGCCCGGGGCTTGTTTATTTATTTGTATTTTCATCTACTTTAAAGAGAGAAAGAGAGAGAGAAAGTTCTTTCACCTACTGGTTCACACTCCCCAAATGGCTGCAACAGCCAAGGCTGAGCCAGGCTGAAGCCAGGAGCCAGGAACCCCATCCTGGTCCCCTATGTGGGAGGGAGGGCCCAAGGACTTGAGCCATCATCTGCGGTCTCCCAGGATGCATTTGCAAGAAGCTGGATCAGAAGCAGATCCATCAGCCCTGCAGGTTCGTTTGGGAAGAAAGATTGAGAGCCGGGCAGGCAACCTCTCCTGCTCCAGGAGCCACCAGAGGCCTTGGGATCAGTACCCACCGTAAGTGGGGAAGATGTAGCTGAGCACTGCATGGAGCTCAGGGGAGACCCCCAGCTGCTGCAGGACCTCAGCCAGGCTCTGCGTGGACGCACGGAGAAACGGAGAGAAACGAATGAGCAGCCTACACCTGCTGAGCAGCTGAGCCAAGGGCAATGGGAGGAACTTGAGCAGGATGGCATGAATGGCTCCGCTGGAAACCACCTGGGGAAGAAGGACTTGTCATTGCTGTGACAGTCACAACAGCCGGCAGCAGCTCAGAGAAGTGCTTTGTCGTGGTGGGTGTTTTTTTCTTTTCTTTTTTTTTTTCCTTTGCTTTTTAGTTAATTTTCTGCTCGGATCCCTTAGCAAAAATCCCAGTCTAGAGTGAGGTAAAAATGAGAGTGATCAGATCTCAGGGAACCCAGCCTAGTCAGGGAAAAGGGAAGGGTGCCCCCTAGAGGCCACAGTGAGAGCAACTAGTACTAAGCCAGGGCTCCAGGGCCAGGAGCTCATGGGTCAGAGGTGGGCAGGGTAGGGGCCAAGTTCAGGGCAGATGTGACTCTTCTTCCCTTCCTGCCTCCCCATAGTCACTCCTCTAATGATGAAAATCAGCCTGGCTGGGAACAAACTGGGGGCCCTCCACACATCCACGTTACCTTAACCAGTTTCATATATTTGTCAATGGCTGCTTCTTCCTGGGGAAACTTTTCCTTGAGGCCCCGGATGTATGCTTCCTCCCCACTATACATGGGGAACTCCTTTCGGCCATTGGGCCCTTCCAGTACCACAATGTCAAAAGGAGAGCACATGGCAGCCCAGTCCAGCTGCCCTTCCGTGATCTGGTCCAAGATAAATCGGCCAGTGCTACCCTCCTGCATGCGCCCAATATAATGGATTCCTGGTGGGAGACACAAAAATAAGTGGCTTGGGGATAGGGGGACCGAGCCTTAGAAAGGTGGACGAGGGAGGAAGGCAGAAGAGGTTGCCCAGTCTGCCAAGTTCATGCCCAGAGGGGGCTAGCCACCCTCTCTGCAAGGAGGTTTCACAGCAGAGACCACCAGAGCCCTTCCTAGTTCAGCCCCCGCCCCCAGATGTGGCTGTGAGACAAGGAAAGAGGTGCACAGAAAGAAGATAGCACCCCCAAATCCACAGAAATGGCACAATATCATCCAATGGCTGCCCCATGCTGCCTGAACATACAACTGTGCTCCCTTTTCAAGAAGCCTTACCCGTGTCGAATTCAAGGCCATTCTTTCCAAAGGTGTGACAACAGCCCCCTGCCTTGGTATGCTGCTCCAGCACCAGAACTCGCTTGCCAGCTTTAGCCAGGATTGCAGCTGCAGCCAGGCCCCCGATGCCACTGCCAATCACCACCACATCCAGCTTCTCCGGCACTTGGCTGGCTGAGAAAACTGCAGAAGGGAGGAGGCGGAGGGTGGGCTTCCAGGCAGGGCCTGGGCAAGTCAGAGAAGGCCTCTCTCGTGGCACAGAGCTCTGGGCTGAGATGTCTCAACTATTTCACCTGGGCATACTCTTTACCCAAAGCCATTATGAACCTGCAGATTTCCCCCGCTTTCAGAGAAAGAATGGGTGAACTACTACAGGGACGCAAACAGAAAGGTGGCAACGGTACAGGCTGGGAAAGCTAAGTGCAGACACAGAGAGAGCTAGGGAAGAAAGAGGACACGGGAAGCCTGCTGGAGGCCAGGCTGGTGGCTCAGCAGCCATCCATTCACAAGCCCCGTGTCTTGGGAGGACGTAGGGTCTACAGGCGACATTGGGGCAACTGGGTTGTATGGCGGCTCTTCCAGACCCTGATGCGGAGGCCTGGACAGGACTGAGCTGCTCAGAGGCTGCTCCTCGGAGGAACCGCAGCACCACCCCCTATCCTCAGGGAAGTCTCGGGCAGAGCTGGGGGCTGTGGGGCAGGGAGACACAGCACCGCAAGAGAAGACAAAACCGGACAGCACTTTCAACACAAGACCTGTCCTTTATTTATTTAGTTTTAAAAAGATCTGTGTATTTATTGGAAAGCAGAGCAACAGAGAGAGATAGAGACAGAGAGAGAAATATCTTCTATCTGTTGGTTCTCTCCCCAAATGGCTCCAACAGCCAGGGTTGGGCCAGACTGAAGCCAGGAGCCAGGGACTCCATACAGGTCTCCTATATAGGTAGCAGGGGCTCTAGCACTTGGGCCATCTTCCATTGCTTTCCAAGACACATTAGTGGGAAGCTGGATTGGGAGCGGAGCAGCTGGGACTTGAACGAGCGCTCTGATATGGGATGCTGGCTTCACAAGTGGTGGTTTACCCTGTGGTGCCACAACACCAGCCCCAAGATCTGTTCTTTAAAATTTACTGCTGAAGAACTGAAGTTTGGAATTTTAAAGCTTCAAGACAATTTGGCAAATCTTTTACTTTTCAAACATTTTTAGAGCCCCATAGTGAAAAATGCATTTTATATCACAATCGCAAACATGTATAAATATATAACATAAGCATCTGAAATAGAAGCATCACCATACAATATTTACTGGTATATGTGTGATGCACTCTGATATTTTTTCTGTTTTAAAAAGGCTAGTTGCAACCCATCAACTTGATTTCATAATCCACTCATGGATCACAACCAGGTTTAAATGACAGTTAAAATGAGTGACCTCATTTTAAGGCCAGCTCAGATAGGTGGAGTGACCTGCTAATGGTTATGCAGCAAATCAGTGACAGAGTTCAAGATAAAACTTTGATCTCAGGAAGTCCACTTCCACTTGGTACTATCTTTGCATAGCAAGGCATGTCACGCAGGGAAAAAAAAAAAGTTTTCTTCCTTCGAGAGGGACCCTGGAGATCGAACAGGGGAACCCTTTGTTTCTAAAGATGCAGAAGTCTTTCTTTAAGAAACAACCTCAAAACATGTTTTAAAGGCAAATGCGAAAAAAAAAAATTAAAAAAAAAAAAAAGGCAAATGTGAGGAGCAGGCTCCGAGCCTGAGGCTGTTGAATGTCTCCCGAAGTTTTAAAAACCAAGGCTTAATTCTATGACTTTGAACCAGGCTTAACCCGTCAAATCCATCGAAAAACGCAATTTCCTATTCTGTTGTGGGGGGTGTGTGTGGGGGGGATTGCTGAGCGGCTCCCTCAAGCCCTGAAACAGTGAAAAAGCGAAGGTCCTAGAACCAAGTAAGGGAAAGGTCTTTCACCTGCCCCGTTTGTAGTGAGGATTCCGACTGGCAGCGCCACGTCTGGGCTATGCCAAGAGGTTGGCATGAGGACGCTGTTTGCGCCCTGGGGCTACTGTCTTCCGGGTCTGTTGGGGTGAAGGCTCTCGCGAGTGGCAGACCTGCCAAAGAGGCGCCTCCACGTGCACAGAAGCTCTCTCCGGCGCTTTACACAGGGGGAAACTGAGGCCCAAGTCTGGCAGCGTCTCGCTCTGCAGAACGGGGAACGCAATCTGCAAGAACGCCCGAGCTCAGCCCGGGACCCCAGGGGCGCTTCCTCTGACCTTGTCTGAGAACCTTCTTCCTGGCCTCTCTGTCGGTCACCAGGGGCGCCGGTGGCCGCTTGACATCCTCGGAGAAGGGGTTCGGGGAGCTGCCAGCGAACAGCCCCAGGTAAACTTTGCGGAGGCCCGCCAGCAGCACAGCCAGCAGCACCAGCCAAAGCCACATCGTGCCGCGCAGGGTCCAGGGACTCCGTCTGCTCAAACTACACCCAGCTGAATGGGTAGTGATTCGGTCCGGCTACTTTGCCCTTCCCTGGCTGAGGGGTGGAGACCGCTTTTAGCCATTGGTGAATCAGAGCCTTTCAAGCGCGAAGTCACGAGGTCGGGGAGGAGATTGACCCTCCTGGCTCTTCGTACTTATTTTGCCGCGCGAAGTTTCCATTGCCTGTTGGGTAGTGTAGTCCTCGCGGCCAAGGGAGGCCGCGCTGCGGGCGCTGTGCGCCTGCGCGGGTGAGGCCCAACACGGGGATGCGAGACCCCAGCCGGGAAAGCTCTGGTAACGGTGGGACAAGTGGGTGGCCCGAGGAGGGGGAGGAGGTGGTAGACATGACCGCGGTGAGGCAGGACCGAGAGAATTCTGACAGGGAGGCAGGAGACCTTGTTCTGCTCCGAGCTCTGCTGGGCACTCGCCGAATACCGGGAGGCAAGTTTGCCGCCCTTCGCGTCTCCTTCCAAGCCGTGGGAAAGTTTCCCAAGCCCCGCTCCGCGTCTGACTGGCTTGTTTCCCGATCTGTTGGGATCTGCGCAGCACAGCTGGCGAGCACCCGGCCCTGTGCCCTGAGTTTGGGCTGCGGCGCCCGCCTGGGACGACGTTGTCTGCGGAGGGGGTGAGGGGCACCCCCGGCCTCTGCGGGTCCCGCAGTCACAGCCTTGCGGTGGGGGCCGCGGGGAGCGGGGGCCTCCCGGGGCAAGCCTGACGCTAGGATCGGCGAAGGACTGTCCAGCTCTGTGCGTATTTGTGTTTCAGGGTAGCCCCGGCTTCTCTGTTATAGACCTGTTCAGCGTTCAAGCAGTTGAAAACTCAGATCCCCAAAAGACGCGTCTTGCCTAAAGTGGGTGCACGATTAAAACTTGATTTGAGTAGGATCCACTTTTTAAAACTTTTATTTACATTTTTATTGAAAAAGAGAGACAGGGCTTCCACCCACTGGTTCACTCCCCAAACTGCATCCGGGTCTCCTGGGTAGATGTCAAGGGCCCAAGGACTTGAGCCATCACATACTGCCTCCTCCTAGGATGCATTGGCAGGAAGCTGAATCAGAACAGTGGAGTAGCCAGGACTTGAACTAGGCCCTGCAGTATGGGATTCCGGCATCCCGAGTGGTGGCTTAGCCTGGACTTGCTCGACACTTGGCGCTCTTCTCTTTCTCAGGTACAGACAGCAGCTGCCCCTATTGAAGCTCTCAGCAGTGTGCCAGCCAAGTGTGTAAAACTGCTCGTGCTTCTGTGCCGCTGGCTTCGTTCCACACACAGCGACAGACGAGCCTTCCTGAGATGAGACTGCTGGTGCCATTCCTGCCTATCGCTTTGCCAAGGTTGGCTGATATGTGTTTTGTCATGTGCTGTCACAGAGGCCAAAGTGCAGGGAAGGAAAAAGGTTGGCCGAGGCTGAGGTCCCAGAGAGAGCCGGCTAATTGCTGAGGGGTCACAGCTGGCGTCTCCCCTAGATTACAGTGTGCCGCCTGTCCAACCTGCCAGCCAGGAGGTGGTCCTTCTCTGGATTAATAGTCAGTGCAGCCTGACAAAGATCCCAGTCTGTTAACCAGCAGCCAGTTCTTAAGGAATCAAGCTGGTGTTCCCAGAGTGGAGGGCCAGCCTCATGGACAGGCCACCTTCCTTCCGTGGTCAGCTGAGTTGGTGAAGTATAGTTGTTGGTTGCATGGGGACCGTCTTCCTGCTTGTGATCTGGGCTTTTGATGTGAAAGGCATCATGATGTTCAGTTCCCCCATGATAAGGTACAAGCCTTGTCCAGCCTTTTTCCTGAGGCAGGCAATGTGAGATGAAAGACTTAGAGCCGGCCAAAGTGGCTGGCCAGCCGCCCCTTGTACAGCATTGGTGATAACTAAGGTTAGGACATGATGTTGCATTTCGAGTTTCTGTCGTCATGGGACTAGGGCCCTGGGCTAGTATTATAAGCCCCCAGACCCAGCCTGTATCTGGACCTAAGCAAGGCCTGAGCACTTCAGCTAAGACCACCCACCAAGGTGCCATTTATTAGCCTTTGACAAACTGACCCAGGTCCCAGTAACTTCATCACCACAAACAGACCCAGTCCTTCAGAATGGTGCTGCTGCCCCTTAGGAGAAGTGAGCCCCCTAGTTCCCGTAGGGCCCCTTTCTCTCCAGCCAGCGCCATGAGTGGTAAGAGGTGGGAATGTGTCTAAGGAAGCATGTTTATTTAGAATAAGTTCACAGCTGCTTAAGGATTTTAAGTCATTTTTTTTTCTCAACAAAAGGACTGAATGATGAATCCATTTTCTTTTTCGTTTTCTGTTTTTCCAGAGCTAAGGCTTCACAGACCTCAGGGACTTCCTTCAGTACTCACAGAAACCTCCTGCACCTTGGTGATGGCACAAAGGGACTGTTTTCTTCCTCGTGGTCTGAATGACTGCCAAGAGGGAAGGCGAAGATAGAGCACCTGGCTTGCTGGTCTCCCCGTGGCTCCTGACCTCAGACCTGTTTTGGGCGCAAGAACAAAGTGCCTAAACAGATGCTTTTGAGTCATGAATGAAAAATCGTGCTCTTTCCATAACGAGGAGGAATTAAGTGATGAACAGGTAAGCAACTGCTCTTTGAGAAAACAAGGTGTTGGGTTGGATTATATGCTTAATCGTAAGAGAATCTATATCAAAAGAATGTGGAACTTTCTAAATATTCCTGGAAAGCCTCTCTGATTATTCTCTTGGTTCTAGTAGATTTTTAATTGCCTTTCTTGGTTGCTTGCTTTCTAAATGGGTTCAGAATTTTGTTGTAGATTTGCTTGGATAAGGGGCATCATTTCAGTGAGGAATCCCCCAAGAAATCTGTGTTTCATTGATCTGCTTATCTTACCTTTCTGGCCTGGCCTCTTCCCATCAAACACCCGCTTTGACCTGATTATCCTCAGGACGCTGGCTCAGTGCGGTAGGTCTTTGTATGAGCCCGGCAGCTTACCCTGCATTCCTTACCTTTTACCCTACCTTGCTCACCCAGAAATGGTCTCTTTTTTTTTTAATTAATTAATTAATTATTTCAGAAATGGTCTTACATGGAGTCTATAGGATTCAGTAGTCAGATGGGGGACAAACCTGTGCTTTGGAACCCTAGGAAGTTTTTTTCACGGTAGTAAGACAGGTGATTTTTCCTTATAGACACTGCCAGGGACTGCATTAGAGAGCGAAACAAAGGTTGAAATGAATCCTGGTGCATAGACCCTAACAGGGAGTTGTTTAGCACTATGAATCACCAACTATTTTTTTTATGTAAAATAGCAATAAAAGTTTGAGACAAATATTTTGTGCCTAGAGCCATGCTAAAAGATGTGGGGAATGTAAAAGAAATATGAGAGGGTCCCTATGCAGAGGTTTTGAGGGGAGCTTGTGCTGCACCCTAAGACTGCAGGACTTGGGAGATGTGAAACACCATTGAGGCCCCACGGGTAAGGCAGGCTGTGCTGAGGAAGCAGAACTGATCTTGAAGGAACCAGAGGACACAGAGAAGATGGAGGAGGGGATGGGGCTGTATTCTGGAGGCAAACCGCATGAATAAGGGTGGCCATGGTGTTCCTTAGACTGCAGCGAGAAATAATGGTGTTCGTGCATCGTGAGGCCTGTTACAGGGAGTGTGCCTAGCCATGGTGTGTTTAGGCATCTGTTCTCACATCTGGAACAATAAGAAATCAAAGGTGGGGGCTGGTGCTGTGGCATACTGGGTAAGGCCACTGCCTGCAGTGCTGGCATCCCATATGGGTGCTGGTTCGAGTCCCAGCTGATCCACTTCTGATCCAGCTCTCTGCTGTGGCCTGAGAAAGCAGGGGAAGATGGCCCAAGGCCTTGGGCCCCTGTACCATCATGGGAAACCTGAAAGAAACTCCTGGCTTCAGATTGACACAGCTCCGGCAGTAGCAGCCGTCTGAGGAATGAACCAGTGGATGGAAGAGCTCTCTCTGCCTCTCCTTCTCTCTCTGTGGAACTCTGATTTTCAAATAAATAAATAAAATCTTAAAAAAAAAATAAGAAAGAAATCAAAGGTAGGGGCTGGTGTTGTGGCACAGCGAGTAAGACCCCCCAACCTGTAACACCATTCGTGACCCAGCTGCTCCACTTCTGATCCAGCTCTCTGCTCATGGCCTGGGGAAAGCAGCAGAAGATGGCCCAAGTGTTTGGGCCCCTGCCACCCACATAGGAGACCCAGATGAAGCCCCTGGCTCCTGGTTTCAGCCTGACCCAGCCCTGGCTGTTTCAGCCATCTGGGGAATGAATCAGTGGTTGGAAGCTCTTTCTCTCCATCGCTCCCTCTCTCTTTGTAACTTTGACTTTCAAATAAATAACTAAATATATATTTTTAAAGATTTACTTATTTATTTGAAAGGCAGAGTTTCAGGGAAGCAGAAGCAGAGAGAGAGAGAGAATTAGAGAGAGAGGTCCTCCAACCACTGGTTCACTCCCTGGATGGCTGCAACAGCTGGAGCTGAGCCATTCTGAAGCCAGGAGCCAGGAACCTCTTCCAGATCCCCCTCACGGGTGCAGGGGCCCAAAGACCTGGGCCATCTTCTGCTGCTTTCCCAGACCATTAGCAGAGAGTGGATTGGAAGTGGAGAAGCCGGGACTCAAACTGGGATGCCAGCACTGCAGGCTTTACCTGCTATGCCACAGCTCCGGTCCCAATAAATAAATCTTAAAAAAAAAAAAAAAAAAAAGAAAGAAAGAAAAGCAATCAGAGACATGCTTAAGACATTAAAAGAATATAAATTGGCAACAAACATTAAAGGAATTAAAGAATGTGAATTACAAAGATATACAGTTGGATTAGAATAACAAAATAATCCAGGATCCAGAGCCTTGACAGAAGCAATAATTCTTTTATTAGTTATTTTCTCTTCATTAGTATTTTTCTTTACTTCAGAGGAAATAGTACATCCCCCTGGCTTAAAGTCTGAAAAGCAAAAAACAATGTATGTACAGTACGAAAACTACTCTTGTGCAAAGGCCACTCATCCTGCTGGAGGCAAAGTTCTCGTTCCTCGGGCATATAATTCTGGAAGTAATCTGCAGAGACAAGCAGATGTTTTGTTAAAATACAATGGCAAGGCTGGCGCTG